GATTCCATCACTCAGTTGAAAAGTCAAAAATATAAAACAAATACTAACAGTTTTCAGATCAAAGTCAACAAAGGAAAACGATCTTCAATAAGTCAAGCGAGCATCATGACTGCCTCAACATACTACCTTGAGTTTGTTTTGGCTGCTGTGCAGTTGAGAGGCCAGCCTGTGGATCAGACTGAGGAGACAGAGGTCCCATTCATAGGAGACCAAGACCAACACAGTCAGAAGACAGAATGAAAGGGGTGATAGAAAAGAACAGAGACTTACAGAGACCTATAGATGATTTCTTTCAAGAATTCAGATTACTATATACCCACACATGAGGAAACAATTCAGAAGAAGTATTAGAGAAGACGGGATGTAACACAGAACTAATACATGGCAGTGTCCACAAGTTTTCTCAAGTATTACATGTTGAGCAAAATGTTTCATTCATTCTCAAGTTTGAAACCTAATATTTGAAGAATATTTTTATTATATTAATTATAATCTTTTAGATTACAAACTTTTAACATAATCTTTATTCTTTTAAAAGAATCATTCATTTTAGAAATGATTTATTTGCATGGTTTACACACAGTAACTAAAAATAAAACTAGGAAAAAACTCAAGAAGTTATGCAAAGTGGGGGAGGAATATTATGCTTCTATCAACTTTACTGATAGAACACTTTGCCTAACTGGCGAGGAGCCTGAGACTTCTATAGTCTTCTCTAAGAAACCCTTAAAAATGAAGATGCAGAACTATCACTGCTTCCCAAAATCTAACTGATATGTAGACTAAAAGTCAAAATTATTTATAGGAATAGAAAAGTACCCAATGCCCATGGATATTAAATTGATCATTTTTGGCATCTTAGCAAAAATTAGCAGCCATACAAGAAAAGAAAGGACAATGAGTAAAAAATTAAAACTGACTCAAAACTGACATGTTAGAATTGCAGATAAAAATTTTAAGAGAGCTATTTTAAACATATAAAAGTTGAAACAGAAGGTATTTAAGAGAGACTCAAATAAAATATCTGGGACTGAATACTGAAAGACAAGGTTAAAATAAACTGAATCTAAAAGCAGACATAGCAGAAAAGGTGATTGGTAAATAAGGTATTAGCCATTACCTCTAAAGAAATAGACTATTAAAACTGGTGAAAGAGCAGAGTACCAGTGAGCTAAGAGACTATTCAAGTGGCCTAACATACATGTACAACTGCAGTTTCAGAGGAGATAGAAAAACCCTTCAATTTCCAAATTTAATGAAAGACACAAAAATGCCACATATAGTAATAACAGAAATGATGGTAACATCAATTTCATTTCAGAAAACATTTCAAAAGAAAACACAGTGGAATGACTACTGTAATATACTGAAAGGGAGAAATAATGCCAACTTCTTATTTTTTATTATATAGCCATATCCTTCAAAATCAAACAGGAAGATGGTGGAAGAAAGATACATGGAATTTTCCTGTGTTTCCACCAATCTACAATAGAGCATTAACTGTAGTAGCTACAGGAAAAGGTTGATATCATGAAAAGGTAAGGGAGGGTATTAGCAAACATTACACAGAGATAAAGTAGAATCCAGGAATGATGAACTTTAGATTTGTAAAAGAAACACACCCTGAAACAGCAAAAGAGAGAGAGCATCCCCTCCCTGCAGAGCTTTAAGCAAAAGAGAAAAAAGAAAGTCTGTGAGCTTCACAGGTGCACAATATGGCACTCTGCAAAACAAACAAATAAATAAATGAAAAGAAGTGATCTGGAACCAGTACTGCATATCCTGCTGTATATACTGTCATGCTCACTGCTGCTAACAGGTTAATTATTTTGAGATTTTACAGTCAAAACCTTTTGACCAGAGAGATCAGAAACCATGGGCTTTTGCTACCTTCAAATCCCAAAGTTTCCCCCTCTTTCAATAACTGGGCAAGTAAATGTCTCAAGAATCAGTGTGGGCCCAATACATTTGTTGTAATCTAGATGCAATTCAAAAACATATGTCTGCTTAGGTGAGAAATATGGGGATGAATACAGAAGAAAGTTGATTAATTCTGGAGGCCTTCAACTGGACCTCTGGGAACAGAGCAGCTGTGGGAGAATACTAGCAGAGACCAGTTATAGCTAGATCATGCAGGGCCAGTCAGTGTTCCATGGCTGACCCTATAAGTACATATCCTTTGAGTCTGACGGACTAATGTAATCTCAGAGCACTGGAGACATAGCTTGCCTCAGGCTTTTTTCCTGCTCACACATGCACTGGCAGAGCACACCTGGTATGAAGGGGCATCCAACTGTGAGGAAACCCTTGGGGTCATCCAGCAGAAGCAGTTTAAGGGCAGGTCCTGTATTCCTGTATTGCCTGGCCTGGATGAGGAAAACACTTCTAGGAATTCAGTTCAACCAGGGCTAATATACTTTACAGTATCATAGAAAAGGCACAGTTGGGTTGGTAAATATCTGCTGCCAGCCTGTTTTGGCCTAACCAGAGAGAAAAATGAATAAATGCCCAAATGCCTCTGATATCAAATACATCAAAACATAAAAAAAAACTGAGAACTCCACACTATGTATCTTCAGGGAGTGAAAAATGTTGGCAATTTTTATTGCTTTTTCTTGTATTTGTTTTATATTACTATTATTTTATTTTGTTTTGTTTTGAGGCAGGGTTTCTCTGTGTAGCTTTGGAGCCTGTCCCGGAACTAGCTCTTGTAGACCAGACTGGTTTCAAACTCACAGAGATCCCCCTGTCTCTGCCTCCCCAGTGCTGGGATTAAAGGCGTGCGCCACCACCGCCCAGCTTTCACTATTATTTCTTATGCTTTCATCCCATATATATACATATATGCTGCTTCTCATCCATGTATTCCTTCTTTGCTCCTCTATCCTTTCTTCATCTACTTTCTTTTCACTACTTAATTATTTACAATATAAACTTCAGTCAATTTTAATTCCTAGCTTTTACTTTCCTTTAAGAACTCTAACTATCCTTGCTCCTTTCTTCTCTATCTAGCTTTAGTTAGCTTTTGAATTACTGCTGTCTGTTTTCTCTCCTCTGAGTGGAAATGGGGGCTGGGTTTTGAAGAGAAGACTGTTTGGTCTTAATTCCAGCACTTGGGAGGTAGAAGCAGGGGTATCCCTGTGCGTTCAGTACCTCCTAGAGCTGCACAGTGAGACACTGTCTAAAAAAGAGATAGAAGATGAACACAACGGAGAGGTATCCATGCTATACTTTCAAGAGACTAAACCTGAGAATAAATCCATGAAGTAGAGAAAGGAAGGAAAAGATAAACAAACCCAAAAGACTGAAAGCCTATTAAATAAAATTATAGCAGAAAAAATTAAATATTAGGAAGGATACAGATATCCATCCAATACAAGAAACATTTAAAATCCCAAGTGGATGTAATTAGAAAGAACTTTTCCATATTATACTATAGTGAAAATACTATGCAAAGAAAAGAAAAAAATATCATGACATTTAAAGGGAAAACAAAACAAAACAAAAACCTTTATCTGCTCATTAAACCATATCTGAACTTTGCTTCTTGCCCAGGGATTTTGAAGGATTTTTTGAATGGTATAGATAGTTTAAAAAAAATGAAGCAATGAATAATTTTGGGAGGGATGTGTCTATAAATATTGAAATGTACTGTCTTAAGTTTTACTCAGAAGGGTCTCAGTTACTGATTATCTGCCATACAGAACACTGCAATCATATTATCCCCAAATACATGAACTTTAGGAAGTGTCACATATGCAACCAACCTGTTTTTGAATATACACAATACTGATACAACATATATGAGTGTTTAACCTTTCTAACATTGCTGAGGTAGGTACTACTAACATCAACTTTTTGAGATGATAAGTGAGATACAAATAGGTTAGACAACAGTCTCAAAGTCACAATCTTAGTAAGTCATAAACTCAGGCTAAGCAATCTATGCACCATCATAAGTCTTAACTGCTAGTCTAGATGACTTTTTATCCTTCCCCTCTTATACTAAAAAACTGATGCTTGAATTTTAAATAATTTCTACAACTTTATTTTTTGTTTCTTTGTTTCCATTTTAGAAGCAGTTTCTCATAGACCCTATATTAGCCTTGACGTTTCATATACCCAGGTTATCCCTGAACAGGATGACCTGGAACTTCTGACTCTCTTGCTTCTTCTATCTACCCGGGGCTGGGAATAGAGGCATGTACCACCATGTTCATGTGGTAATGGGAAGCATACCCAGGGTAATAACTATCACATAAATATAGTAAGAATTCAATGTTGGTAGCATTGCTATACAGCATTTATGAAAAAATAAATTTCTGTATTTCTAAAGAAAAGTGAAATTTCATAATGAAATGTGACATGAAGATAAGATATAAAGAACATAATTTGTGACACATGAGTGAAAGCTATAAACCAAGGCTGTTCCAAACAAACTGGTCTCCAAGTATTTTAACAAAAAAAAAGAGTTCATTTATATTTGGAATACTAATTTAAAATACAAAATGTATTCCCCTGATAAATAGCACGAGCGCTCTCTCTCTCTAGAGCATGGTCTAGACATAAATCCATACCAAAATTTTATAACTGCTTCCTAATAAAGACAGTATCAGACTAGTGATTCATTTTTATACTAACGAAACATAACAAAAACATAGTTTGCTACTTTTAATAAACAAATTGACTCTTTCAGTAAGATTTAATTTATCTTATTTCTTTGAAATCCCTTCAAAACAGCAAGTTCTCCTTGACAAAATTATGAGCAGAGAATGGGAGAGCAAAAGATTCATTATCTTAAGCAATAATAGTTACTGAACATTTTGATGGCTAAAAGGAAAATGGGAAGATCCCAATCATTTGTCACTTACATATGAATACTTTTATGATACTATTGGCCAGTTTCTGGGAAATTATACTAAACTATGACAAAGAATAATCATGTATAGTCAACCGGGTGTTTATACCTAGATAATATATTGAAAAAATGATTAACAAAATTAATAAATTCATCTAAACTGAATGCCTAAAATTTCTTATCATCTATATCTACTTTTAGTAAATGTTTATAAACTACATGAATACAAAAGAACAGCAAATCTTCTATTCACTTTACAATACTCAGATGGCAACCTGTCCGTAGTAACAATTTATAAGCTTTTAATTTTGACCAAATATTTTTATTACTATTCATTTGGTATCTGTGGTGTCTAACAGAAGCTACATCCATAAAAGCTCACCAACATGGCTCCCTAACTACATCCTGAACTGAATGACAGCAACAGACATGCTACCATGCAAGGGGAAAAGCTCACAAGAACTTAACCCTATATTAAGAATACAGGTAACACAGAAATGCTTTGAGCAAGAGAAAGTCTTTCCCAGGGGAGAACACACCAATTGGTTTTCTAATACCTAATGGTCAGCCCTAAAAACATACACACAGGTAATATTATACAGACTGAACAGTTTGATTTACACACATACACAAAGAGCACAACTACAACCACCAACAATTCAAGAAAAGTAGGCCATTAATTTAAAAGAGTGAAGTGGGTTACATGGGAGGAATTAGACACAAGAAAGAGAAGGGAAAATGAAGTAATTATAATCTCAACAAATAAAAAAATTTTAAATAAATAAAAACTGACATGAAAGCCATATAACAAATACACATTGGGATTCAGTTCCTGGATTTTAATAATTGCATATGAACACAGCAAAACTGAACATATTTATGTTTTATACCTTAGCTCCATCTGAAATATTGTCCCAGTTTCCACCACTCAAAGAAAAATTCCCATTGCCTATACGGAGGAGTATTTCTTCAGGAGTATCATTGGGTCCATTGGAAAATGGAGTGTAGCTGTTAATAAAATAGATTTTAATAAACACGAAAGGCAAAGGTACATTTTATATATATTCAAAAGTGGTCACTATAAGTCTATATACAAATATAAAAAGGAGCCAAGAGCATTACCTAATAGTTCCCTTTATTATTAATATGAAATCATATTTCAAACAATGAATTTAATTCTAATAAATTATGTAATCAAGTAAGGAATCTTGCTGATAACTTTGTTGCATCCTTTGATCAGTTAATAAATGCAAAATAGACACAGACTTTTATATAAACATACAATATTAGAAAAGCATGATAAAACACAAATATTCTACTTTTATAGGCTTAAGTTGGCAAGGAAATATATCTACTATGAAGAAGTTTTAATTCTTACATATTTATAATGTATTGATTATACTATTTTGGCTTATACATTAACATTTTATTTTTATGATTAGTGGAAATGAGTTACAATTTTCAGTTTATACCTATGGAAAATAAATATATTTAATATTGATGTCAATGTAATAAAAACCACAGCCTCTGAATTAAGTACATAAAATTATTCATGGGTTGAAAAGATTCATAAATTTAAGGTGGACTTTAAAAATTAACTTGACAAAAGTATCATGTTATTAGCTGTAACTGAAATTTCTTTATATTTGGGAACTAGAAAGTTGGTTTATGGTTAAAAAACTTAAGAGATAGCTTTATACAATAATGTTTTCATTCCTTCATCGAACAGTTAGGTTTAGATAATACATACTTATATGTAATAATTTATTGTTTAATCATAAAGCCAATATTTGAAAGCTGAAAGCAAGAAATTATATCCCATGGTCTAAAACCTATAATACTAACTATATATGACAAGGTATACCATTCTATAAAGAGCTTATGATATTTAAAATCCTAACATAAGCAATTACACAAGCCAATTAACAGTCCAACATCACAATTAACTAAGATATTTTATGTTTTTATATAGCAGTTAAATTGAATATTTAAAATGTCACACCTGTCTGATAGTTGCTAGCTAACCATTCCTTTTAAAAAAAAACAGAATAATTTATACAACCATAAATATTCACTTTTAAATAAAGTGCTACTCCCTATTAAGAGCAAAATATCATTTTTATCAATTATAATTCACAAACATTAACATAGCCTACTTATTATTACATCTGTTTTGAACGTATCCTCATCCTATTAATGGTAGACATGTATATGCATGCTTCTCTAGTTTAGTATTATATTTTTATTAATCCTCTTACTAAATACTTTGTGGCTCAGGATTATTGTGCTTTTGTAATAAATTAACATAATATTAACAAGTCCAGTGGACATGCGCCTATCTTACCAGGCTGGACCCTGCTTAGCTTCTGAGATCAGACGAGATTGGGCATGTTCAGGGTGGTATGGCCGTAGACAACATGCTCCTATCTTATAGACACAGTTATCTTATAGTCTAGCAAGTCCGTTGAAAAGTAAAGCACTTAATGTAAAAATGAAAGGTTTATTCTAAAGCATTTATTCTATATGAAAACTGTTCTATTTTTGTATCTCATTTTATAAGTAAAAAGTATAGATTTGCAAATAGTAATGGGATCTAACATTATTTTCTTCTGTACTTTTTCTAGAGGAAGATATGCAGAAAAGTTTGAGTTTGTAAATATCATATCCACCCAGCATGGTGTAAAAAAGGACTCCCAAGCTCCAAATATCACAAGCAGCATCATATCCTTGCTGAGTGAGAACCTATGAAAAACAATACGGTATGAAATATTACTTAGTATAGCCTAATTTTTTTCATACACTGAAATATTGTCTTGATTCTATAATTTCATAAATATTAATGATATAAAAATAAATATAAAAGTTTTAAATTATTCTATACCCTTTAAGAGTAAAGGTAAAATATTCTCCAATCTGCAAACACTGCATAAATTGGGGTTACTATAAGCTGGTAAGAAATATGGACTACAGACAAAAAACAATCCTTTAAAATATAAAACCTGACCTCAATGAGTTTTCATTCTTCCTCATTTCAAATTGGAAATATAGACACCTAAACTTAAGAT